TCTCCTCCTTTCTGTGACTTCTGCATTCTATGCTCTGCCTTACCTTCCCGTGTGCCCCCACCACACCCCTCCCTCACCCTCTTCTCTTCCTGCTCCTCTCCCCATTCCCCATCCGCTGCAAGACCTCCATCTCCTTACCAACTCCAACACAAAAGCCAAAATGGAGGGGGCCCACCTGCGAAGCTGGGATGTGCTCCTGTGTGCCTTTCCCTCTGGGTCCTCAGTTTTCCCCTGGGACTCTTCGTTGCCCCATTGGGGTGGGCTTAAAGAAATATGGGATATAAGATGGTATTGGGGAAATGGTAAGTGGGACCACTCCTGAGCCCCCTACCCTCTACTCCCCAATCACCCGACTCCTCCAACCATCCCTACCCTGGCAGGAAAAAGCCTCCTTATTCACGTGGCTCCCAGTGCTCGGTAATTTGCAGGCAGGAAGTTTCCTCCTGTCTCACCTAATCCAATCTGCTGCATGGTAATCGCCTCTGAGACAATTAAGTGCTCCTCAAAAGTGCTCCCCCAGCATACTGCTTCTGTCTCCCTTGACTCCTCCTGCCTGGATGAGGCTGAGGGTTCTGACTCAAGGCTGTGGTCTCAGGCTCCCCTTGAGGGAGCTGGGGATGGCCTACAACATGGGAGCTGGGCCCTCCCTGTCTTTCTGAGCCCCTAGCATCTAACGGCTTCAACTCCCAGCATCTTCAGCCTCCCCAGCCTTTGCCCCAAATCTCAAGAACACCATGTGCAGAGAAGGCAGGGTTTCTCCCAAGCCCCTCGCAATGGGGATAGAGAGGAGGGCCCCCAGCTGAGAAGATGGAATTAATAGGCTTGGGTTAATCCTTGACCCCAACCGGAGAGTCAGGATTCTCCCGCCAACTTTCTGTCCGTCACTTCCCACATCCAGCCAACTCCTTGGCAGGGAACACGGAGGACCAGGACTGAAGAGATGCTATGGACTCCCTCACTCTTGCTTAGGTCCCTTCTTTGTGCTCAGGCACTCCTATCGTAGAGAAGGTGTTGGGGACCCAGGCTGTCCTGAACTCTCCAGCCTCAACCCAACTGCAAGGCCAGGCTGACTCTAAGCTCACTTGGACCTCAGCGCAGTCATTGGTGAGGGCGTGGGAAAGCCCTGCTTTCTCTTCTCCACGTGGAGCATCAGGAGACGAGTTGAGAGAGAACGGCATTGAATGTGTTTTGAAGTGTGGGCTTTGACTCCTAGGCCATAGGAACCATCAGAGATTTGAAGCAGGAGAATGAGGATGGGGATACACATTTTATAAAGATCCCTCAGGTTGTCGGTATTGGGACTAAAAACTGTACCAGTCCAGGCAGGAACTGATGAAGGCTGGCTCCTGTCAATATCTCCCAACTTATCTCCTGCTGCTTCCAGGGCTCCTTGCTGCAGCTACACCAGGGTTCTTGCAACCTTGAATGTTTTCAGCATTTTCATGCCTCCATGCTTCTATGCACAGAGCTCCTACTTTCTGGAATGTTCTTACTCCACCTCTAATTATCCACCTCCTACACATCCTCAAAGACCCTCCCACCTCTATTAGCCATTCTTTATGAAGTCCACACCCCAGCTATGTCCTACCATGGAACCCTTCCATGGATCAGCAGGTTTGCCTGTATTTTTGCCAGCTCGGAATTTTCCAATTTCATGTGTCTGGAGTCCAGAGGGATAATGAGGATGTTTAGAATAGGGAAATAAGTGGAAGAGGAAGTCCAAAGTCTGCCTGAATTCCTCAGTGATAAGGGCTAGAGGGAGCTGCCTTGGCCCAAAGGGCAATGGTTGACCAGATGGCCCAAGGCAAGATGGTGGAGAAAGATTGATATAGTCCAGACTAATGTTCAAAAATGTTGGTCCCTTCTAGGAATGTTCATTTGCTGGGTGACCTCAGCCCTCTTTGGGTCCCTGTTTCCAGATGGAGCCCAGCACTCAACTCAACTCAACTCAACTACTCAGAGCTCATTTCCCAGACCACCCCCACTTTATTCAGAGACACCACCGGATCCGGGTTACTCTGGGGCTCTTACCTCTCTGTGCAGAAGTGCTCTGTGACTGTGCTGCTGGAGGCAGCAGAACTGGCTAGAGCAGTTGACCCAACATCCTTCCCCCACTATGATAGCAGGCAAAAGTCACCAAGAATCCTCTGAAGCCCTCAGTGATTGGAAAATAAATGTTATTGGTCAAACAGCTACACCCTAGCTTAAGAGCTTAAGAGGGGGCCCTGTCCTCAGAGCTCAAGTTGCCCTGTCCTCAGAGCTCAAGTCTGGACTCTTGGTTACAGAGTCAGAAACTCAATTGGCTCAAGTTGTAAAGAAAGGCATTGACTCATGCTGCTGGGAGCAGGGCTGGGTTCAGGCATGGCTGCCCAGGGAAGCCGATCATGTCAAGAGGGCCCAGTGTGTCTCCGTCTCTGTATTCTGCTTTTTGTTGTGTGGCACTCAAAGCCCTACCACATTGTATTCCACTTGGCAACAAGATGGTAGCAGAAGCTCCAGCCCTTTCATTCCTTGAGGTTTCCAGTCCAATGGAAAAGAACAAATCCACTTCCCTAATTGCTTAATCCAGAGTCCCAGGAATGAACATCCTGGCTTTGACTTGGGCCATGTGCCAGACACTGTGGCCAGGAATACTCTGACTGGCTCAAGTCTGGTCACATGTTGGTTCCTTAGAAGAGAGATCATCAGAACCCATGAACTAGGAATGGGAGAAAAGGTGGTTTCCCAGATAAAGATGAGGACATGGCATCAGAGGAGGGTAGAAGGCAGCAACAATAGATCCACTACCATCCAATAGATCCATTACCATGTGGGAGATAAGAGGTAGGAATGGGAAGGAGAGGCAGGCAAGGCTGGGAAGGGGCCAGAAGGCAGACTGAACCCTGTTGCTGGTGAACAATGGGACTGAGAAGGGACTTTGGGAAGGGACTTGCTTCCCTCCAAGCAAGCAAGATGGTGGGACCCAACCTGGAGTAGTCAGTCTCCAGGTTCCTCTTCTTGAGGCCATCTCTGGGATCCATCTGGCCACTGCTTTTCCCATGCCTGAGCCAGCCACAGATCCTTTAGGACAGAGCATCTGGAGTGTTTCATCTGAATAACCCTATGGGCAAGAGAGGAAGCACACGACGCCAAACAGGGATCACAGTGCACTTCCTTGGAAGGCTCATATCCTTTCTTTGAAAGTTATACAAATAACGTCATCCTCTCCATAACGGATCCGTGTTACTTTCAATGTGCCAAGTTTTAAGTGACTGATCAGCTAATGTCTTTACTCCAATTGGGTAGTCAAGTGGATGGTACAAGATGGAAGCCAAGGTCACTGTGGCTCCCAGGCCTGTGGCACGTGGGCGAGTGAGGTCTGGATGCGGGGGAGTCTGGAACATATCCTGGATAAGGAGTCCTTCCCTTGGACCTGGGCGTGGTCAGCTGTGGTGCTATACTGGGAAAGTTGGGGACCTCTGACAATGAGGCTCCACTAAGCCTTCCACAGGAGATGAGAGAGCTGCTGAGGGGGAAGGGACTCAGCCGTGTGGCCCTTGGACACGGAATGGTCAGGCTTCAGCTTGGACCCCCCCTCCCTGCAGCAGGGAAGAGCTAGCTCACTGGCACCCAGGACACTTATCCCTCGGGGGGGGGGGGGGCAATTCACTTAGAACACTGGTCAAAGTCACACCCGTGGTGCCTACTGTAGATGTTCATTTCCTTAAAAAAAGGTAATAAGGAGGAACTCCTCCAATCTGTGTCATCCCACTACAAGAACCCTTCCAGTCATCCGGAGAGGTAGTTAAGGCCCATTTAGCCTACAGGGAAACTGAGGCCGAGGGAGGTGAAGACCTTGTCCCCTGGCGGAGAGGACAAGCTGGAAGACACACCGAGAATCTGATTCTGGCACAGTCTTGCTGGACTCTCCCACGGTGCCGTTTGGGACTGTGACATTCTCCTCCCTAAGCAGAAATGAGGAAGCTGATACGGGGTTCCCAGGGGCAGCAGCCACTTCCCTAAAGCCAAAGAGACAGGCAGTAGCTGCCACTGGCCCAGCAGTTCCTTCCTGGAGGCCTTCACCCGCCCTTCCCCACCCAACGGCTCCCCAGACCTGAATTTTCTGGCTGTTCCTAGGCATCCATCACCCCTACTTACATGTTGGCTCCAGTGCCAATGTTCCACTGGCACACAGGTCTGGCCCCACCCCTGATCACTAGGTAGGGTGCAGGGGAGTAGAGGGGAGGGGATGAGAAAGCTCACGCTTCTCCCCGCCTTCCAGAGACAAGAGGAGGCTTGGTGGGTGGCAAGCCATCCTGGGAGGGCTTCCCTTATTTCCTTAAACCTCCCCCGCACCCCGCTCCCACACACACCCCCAGCAGCAGGTCTGACTTAGCTTGAATTATTCAAAAGCTAAGAGGGGCTAGTGTGCTCTTCTAGCTGGTGACCTGGGGACCGAGCACAGGCTCCTAGAATGGGGGCAGATGGGAAGATGCAGCCAGGCTCCTGGATTCTTCCCAAGTCTGGCTCCAGGAACAGGAGGCCAGGGTCCAGTCCCTGTAACGAGGCAGCACTAGCTAGGCCCCGCCCATCACAGGGACTGAAGTCGGGTCAGAGGACTCCCAGGGCGCCCGCCAAGCTGGACAATGGTAGAATCTGTCGACCAACTCTGGGCTCCAAGGAGAGGCCCTCTCGCCTCGGTGGGCCATGCTACCCTCAAAGAGACACAGCTGTTACTAACAGCACGGCTGGGGAGCCACCAGGAAGCCATGACAGTGTCCTCAAGGCCGACCAAGCTTTGGGAACAAGGAACACGTTTTGAATAAGATCCAGGTCAGGGTCAGGCTTTGGTCTGGGGTGAGGATTGGGATGGAGTCGAGGTTGGGATTGGGGTTCAGACGGGTACCCGGGTCAGTCCAGTGACCAGGCCTCCCTTGCTTGACCCATGCTCCTGGGAGTTTGTGGATGGGATGTGGGCCATGGATGAGGCTGACGGTCCCCTCCCTGTCTCTGTCCTGAAGAGCGTCTGGGCCTCCAAGCAGGAGCTGTGTGACTTCATGCAAATGATCGAGGCGGAGCACAGGCAGTGCCTGGAGAAGGACCCGCTGTGGAATGAAACAGCAGGTGAGCCCCGCCCCCAGTAGAAAGAGACCCCCGAGGAGCAGACCCCCGAGGAGCCCCACTTCTCACAGTGCGAGCCCAGATCCACATCGCACTCATTGCATAGTGTTGGAGGGGGCAGCACCATGGGGCTGCGGGGTGGTGAGGAGAGGATGCTGGGAAAAGCTGGAGAGCCAGACAAAGACGGAAGGCACCAACAGACCTGCATGCTCCCATCACCCACCCCAAGTCTAAGGAGCTCCCAGCTGTTGCCTAAGGAGAGCATATGAATTGGGGTTCAGAAAAGTGAGTGCAGCTATCTCGGTATTCGGCGGTCCCTACCCATCTTCTCTGGGAAAAGTGGGTTGATGTCTTCCTGGCTCCCCAGTCCCCTGCCGCCTCTGAGGCTGACAATTATGTGACCCTTCCGGATCCCTTCTTCTTGGCCCCGGCGCCCAGGCTCTCTCCTCCTGCACCATCAGTGAGCGTGAGTAGCCTTGCCAATAGCTTTCACTCACCCAGCTCAAGGAGGGGCGGCCTCCTGTCTCCTGGGCCCCTGAGACTGAGCCTGGGTCCAGGGGTACTGTCCACTGCCAATGCTCCCCCCGGGGCATGGAAGCCGGGCCCCAGCAGTACGATCCGGATCGTGGACAACTCAGAGAGGCCAGGACCCCAGATTGGAGGCCTCCCTGCATCCCTCCCAGGCCCCAAGGGCCGGCCACCCTTGTGATCCTGATGAGGTAATTGCTGGCACTGGGTGCCTGTCAGGTGCAACAAACACCCTGTCACCAGGCAGCCAGCTGGGGATCCAGAGGAGGGCAGGTATGGGTCAGTGGGCCGTGAGTCTGCCCGTGACCTTGTGTGGGGCTCTGCATGTGTTCAGGCAGTGGCAGGTACAAGTGTGTGCTCCCGGCTCGTGTCTGCCTGGTTCTGTTTCTGTGCCTCTGGGGTCTGAGTTCCATGTCTGACTCGGGGTGTCTTTGTGTGTCAGAGCGTGAGTCTGTGCAGCCTGGGTGTGCCCAGGTGTATCTGCCTGGTGTGCTGAGTGTGTGAGTGTGAATGTCTGTGATACACTGTCATGTCTATGCATATGGGTCCAAATCATGTCTCTGTGCCTGTGTTTACTTGTGTCTGGTCTTTCTGGGTCCAAGTGAGCATACATGTATGTATGTTTGCATGTGAGTGTGGTTCTGAGTGTCTGGGAGTGCTTGTCAGTAAGTGTGTCTCTCTCTGTGCACACAGGACTATGAAATGACCTGGCAGAGGTCCCTACTCTGCCTCACCATCCCCCACCCCAGGCTCCTGTTTGATCTTTCCTTCCTGCTAGGTGGCAGTCCCCCCTCCCCCCACCCTTTCCCCTCCCCCACAGGCACATACAGCCAGCCGGGCCCTGTGTCTCTGTGGGCCTGGTGACACGTGGTGGGTCTCCCTGGGTGGACACTCAGAGAATACATCCAGGCCCAGCCCAGGACAGCAGGCCTCCAGATGCCCAGCATTTTCTTGGCCATCACCTCTTCTCTGCTCCAGACCCTGCTGCCTCCTGCAGGAAGCTGCCCGGACCACGTCCCTCTGCCCGCCTCTCTTCCCGGGCTCCCCTGCCCTGCCCACTGGCCTGCGCCCAGCACAGTTCACCGCCCAGCCTGGTGGCACTGAGATTCCTTGAGGCCAAGTGTGACCTCCCCAAGGACAGAGCCTGGTCTCCCTCCTCTGCTCTGCCTCTGGTGGAGGTGGAGCCTAGCGCCATCAGGGAGGCAACACAGAGCCCCGCAGAGAAAATTCCCCACAGAATCGGCTTCCAGCCATTCAGCACCGGAGAGCAAGAGGTTTGCTGGAGAGGGAGCAACCCCTCCCGCCCCTGGGCTAGTTCCCTGATTGCTCTGTGCCTCAGTAACTCATCTCTAAAATGGGACGACTAAGTAAGTGGTCCATTGAAAAGGGGGGAATGGCTCCTCCCACTTGCAAAGGCTCCAGGAGTGTTGACTGGTATTATGAACGGTCTTGCACAGCCAGCAGGATTTGACTGGCTCTATTGTGGCCGTGGCCGTGGCCGCCAGAGAGGTTGGCACAGGAGTGAAGGAGGGACTGGGAACCAGTGAGGACAGAAGCCTCAGGACAGGGTAAGGCAGAAGTTCTAAGATCCCAGAGGAAGGCAGGCTGTGCTCCTGGGCCAGCCCTGGGGGCCCAGGTGTCTTCAGGCCTCAAGGGCAGCTACCATTGGCTGCTGCAGGCCTGGAAGGTACTCCTCCCCATTGCTGGCCCGGCTCTTCCTCAAGTGGGGACATCCTTCCACCTTTTCTTCCCAGGCCCCCTTCTTGGGAACTTGGGAACCTTCGGACTTGGGCTGGGCTGGGCTTGGCTCAGCTGGCGTTGACTTTGGCTCAGGGGTTGGGTTTCCTGAACAAAGCTATGGGACTGGCAGGGCTGCAGAGACAATTAAACCTCCCTCGGGGGAGGGCAGAGGAGTCCTAGTCCCTGTGAGGCGCCAGACCCTGAACAGGCAAAACCATGGCATTTGCATCTGCCTATTAAAGTAGACTCTTCCGGACCCCACTGTGCACCCCTCGCCCCCACCAGGTCTCGGGCTAATACACAGCCTGTGATGCAGGATTTCCTCTGAACTCACCCCCGACCTCCGCCCCCCTTCCCCCCTACCCTACCCCCCTTACGTGTCACAATTTCACTGAGTTGGGGCATCGTCTTGCTTTGTGAGTTTTATGAAGACTCCTCAAGAACTAGCTGAATCCCAATATACCCATCACCCCACCATAAACAACTCCTCCTTTTTAAAAAATATATTGTCTAATGCCTCCTTTACTATTATAAAATGACATTCAGGACACACATTCATTTTTTTATTTTTTATTAATATATATATTTATTGATTTCAGAGAGGAAAGGAGAAGGAAAAAAAGATAGAAACATCAATGATGAGAGAGAATCATTGATTGGCTGCCTCCTGCACACCCCCTACTAGGGCTCAAATCCACAACCTGGGCATGTGCCCTTGTCCAGAGTAGAACCGGACCCTTCAGTCTGCTGGCCGACGCTCTATCCACTGAGCCAAACCAGCTGGGGCCACACATTCATTTTTTTAAATGATGTTCTAATTGTAACATAAAAGAAGGAAGGACGTAATTTATAATTAAATACTATCAAGCCAGGCCCGACCCCACTGGAAGATAAGAAGGTTGGGTCTATAAACATAACCTCAGGGAATGGGGGAGCTATGGGTGGAGGTTGGTGTAGACGGTGGTTGCCTCCCTGGCTCCGATGTCACGGGCAGCATTGTTGTAGGGAACGCGATTTCCCAAAACATTAAACAACTTTCGGTAAAGTCTAGAAAGCGCCAAAGCCCAGCCTTCCCTCCCTTTACTCAGTAGTTGCACTCGGGGGAAACTGCGTGTTAGACGTGCCATAAGGGCCCCGTGTTTGTATGGAGAATGGGGTGAGTCCAGGCTATGGTCCTTACAACAGGATTTCACCGGTGCCCATGCCCAGTGGCTCACTGGAAAGTCTTGCAGAAGCTCTGCCTTTCATCGCTGTGCAGGGCCATGCTGGAGCTGGCGCCTGCCCACCAAATGCAGGGGGAGGCCCCCAATCTGCAGCAAAAAAAAAAAAAACCCAGTGCTGTCCCCCGGGGCGCTCTGCCCCTGCAGGAGGACCAAGGAGCTGTAGTCTGCCTCCTCCTTGCTTCCTGTCAGGATGGTCCCTGTACAGCCAGGGCAAGCTGTGCCTCCCTTCTCAGACCACAGGCTCCTCGAGGTGGGAGCCTGGAAGAGGAGGAGGAAGAAGAGCAGCTGGAGGCACCTGATGGCCATGCTGACCCATGGGTCCCCTGCCTTTACCCCACAGGCTGCAGCAAGATGTGGGACAACATCACCTGCTGGCCAGCCACCCCGAGGGGCCAGGTGGTCGTCTTGGCCTGTCCCCTCATCTACAACCTAATCTCCCCGCTTAAAGGTAAGAGCCCTGGGTTCGAGCGAGGGAGCTGGGGGGCACACGTGGCGCGGACTAGAGTGGAGTCTCGCCTCCCGGGGGAATGAAAAGGAAAGGGAGAGAGGGTCAAAGGGGCTGGAGCAATCCAGGCGCCTTCCTGGAAGAGGATGCTCTGGCACCAGGTCCTGGAAGGACTTAACGGGATTTGATTAACTCTTCGCCTAAAGATAACCATGTGGGAAGGGCTCGCTAAATATTTGCTCAGCAATTAATAACTGATGGGCTGACAGGTACTTAATTAAATCATGGCTCCCGCGCTCCGTTGGCCCGGTCTGCTCTGGATTCAGTCTTTCGCTGCCTGGAGCCGGTGCCCTCTCCTGCTTCGTGAAACCGCCGCGTGGCCTTGCTTACACACCTTGCCGTGCTCTGCCTAAATGCGTGTTCACCTACAAGGGAGAAAAGAAAACGGAGCCTCTTGAGGAAGTGGGCTTTCTTGCTAGTGAGCCAAGAGGCTGACAGCATAATGTGGTCCGTCAGCCACCCTTCTACTCAGTGAAAGTTAATTCAACACCTACTATCATGCCCAGCACGGGACTAGGCAAACAGGCAGTGGAGGGGGGGTGGGGAGGCATAAACGACACCCCGTCTGCCCACAGGGGGCTAATGTTCTAGTTGGAGAGACCTTGAGCGAGAAAACGGACACACATGTCCTCAATGGTCAGTGGGGCCGGGAGGGGGAGGGGGGAGAGGGCTGGGGTGCATTGTAAAGCAGATGTTCAGGGACAGAAACCGAAGACCTGGAGTGGTCCTGTTGGGGGGGCATGCGGAGAGCATCCACTTCGGTGGGACGAGGTGGACTGGAGCCAGGGTAGGCTAAGGATCCGAAGGGTGCGCACAAAGACTCTGGGCACCGCCCACTCCAGGTGGCCTCTTCCTCTCTGGGCCTCCGTTTCCCTGTTTGTAAAGTAGGCATGGGGAGGGGGACCACATGGTTTCTTTGGGGCAGGCCAGTTTTGCCCCCCGCAGGGGCGTGTCCTCAGCCATGACGGAGAGACCCCCATGCCCTCCCTGCAGAATCCCGGAGCGATCACAGGCGTGTCCTGTTCCAGAGGGCACCCACCCAGCCCAGCACTCCTCCAGGGAAGCCCAGCCTGGGGCAGGTCGGAGATGAGTTACTCCCCCAGGCCCCATCCGCAGAGCCTGGCACCCGGCCTCCCCTTGGGTCCCGGGAAGCAGCGCCTACTAATTGCATTCCTTCCTGATGCCCGCTAATTGCATTCCTCCTGCCGGCTCTTCCTCCTGGCCCTGCTGGGATGATCAAAGCAGCTCCTTCACTGGAGAACCTGGACCGCAGCCCACTGTCTGACTAATGCCGTGGCCGCCAGCCTCCCGGGACCCACACCTTGGTGCCTTTGTGCCCATGAGTAAAGGGCTGCCCTTCCCCAGACAGAGCCAGCCTCTCAGAGGCCCACCTGGTGGCAAGCTGAGTGTAAAGGAACACTGAGCCCCCGTCCCCACCAGCCCGACGCCCTTGTGCAGGGAGCAGCCTGCTCAGCTCTCCTTGGCTGTGCAAGCGTCTCTGAAAATGACAGAGAGAGGTCGGAGGCAGGCAGGGTGAGGGACTGGAAATGTAAAAGAAACAGGGTGGGTTTTTCTGGGCAGCTAGTTGAGAGGGTGTGACCAGCTGGCCTTGCCTTCCAAAGAGGGAAGTTGTGAGGAAGGGACGTGCAGGGAAGGGGGGAGGCCAATGGGACGTGCAAGGGAGCGGGGAGGGGAGGCCAGCGCCAGCTCCTTGGGTACCAGGACTCGGGAAGACGTGTTCTCTCTGGAAGGGCTGGAAGGGACCCGGTTCTACCATGAGAGCGGAAGAGACCTTGCGGAAGATCAAGACAGCAGAGGGTTAGGGAAAAGTCCTTTTCCCAAACTGGGTCATGAAAGCACCAGAATGCACCTGGGGCCTAGTCCTTTAGGTCCTGGTGTACATGCCTTCAACCCGGTCTTTACCTTCAGCTATTTGAAGAGCCTCTTTTAGGGTGATGGCTATTCTGGTTGGGAAAACTCAAGTCTGGGTGAAGGGAGTCTATAGGACACCTCCTCCCCTCGCCCCACCCCCACCATCCTGAAACTGCCTGGAGCCCCAGGATCCACAGGGTTCAGCCCCAAGATCCTGCTTTGCCTGGGCAGGTTCCCCCGCCAGGCCCTCCCTGCATCTCCATTTGTGCGGATTAGAGATCGGCACCGTTATCAGGTGTCCCCCAGCCCCGCCCGCCTCCTGCCTCGCCTGAGCCCCACCAGGTGTGGGAGGAAACCTAGGCCCAGAGGCTCAGGCAGGCTGGCCAGGAGCAGTGGACAGGCCAGAGGGCTGCTGTCTGCACCCACAGGACCAAGAAGGCATCTGCCACACCAGGCCCTGTGACAAGGGCCAACGTTGAGCTCATGGCAAGGGGTCAGGGATGGTGCAGAGAGCCAAGGATCCAGGCTCGCTGGGATAAGAATCAGAACTTATATTGCACTTGGGGTCAGGTTCAGACATGACAAGGGGCAGGGCTGAGCCCAGGAATGCCTGGCAGCGGGGAAAGAAGGGGTGCAGGGGCTGGGAGGTAGAACCTGTCCCTGCCCAGGTTCCCCCATGATGCCCTGGGGTCTAGGTGGGAGTCTGACACAGCAGAGGTTCTCGGAGTAGGGCTGAGGGCAGAGACAGCCAGGCCCCACACCTACTCCACGGATCTGCCCCTCTCCTGGCCTCAACCTCTCTCCTCCCCCAAGGCCACAACGTGAGCCGCAGCTGTACGGACGAGGGCTGGACCGACTTGGTGCCTAGCTCCTACGACATTGCCTGTGGCATGGCTGGCAAAGAACCAGATCTGGACGAGGTAGGCCTCAGTGCACCCTACCCCCGCCAGGCTCCTTCCACTCTCTCCCACCGAGGGGAGGAGGTGGCAGGCTGTGCAGGAGCCAGGACCCCTGGGCTCTGCCCTCCCCGCACCTCCTCCCTCGCCAAGCGCACCTCTCCAGGGGCTTGTCCTCTGGCTCCCCCTGATGAGGGTGCTTTCCTGAGGAGGACTCAGAGCAGCCAAAGCTGCAGCCACACCCCCTGGCCAGGCCACCCACTGCCTGCTGGGACCTTGCTCTGGCCCCCGGACATGACAAGGGAGGGAAATACCATCCTCCCTGGCACCTGGGGAAGAAAAAGGATGAGCAGGTCCTGGAGGGAACCAACAGTCAGTCAGGGGCAGGGACGGGGACGGGACCGCCCCCTCAGTCCCAGGACAGGGGCCTGCCCCAGAGCGGGGGAGCACGGGTGGTCACTGTGAGGAGCCAGGCAGGGATGCTGATGGCATTCTCAGCTAGCGGCCCTCGCTGCTTCGGTGTGAGAGCCCGTGTGTGTGTGTGTATCCGTGTGTCTGTGATGACATCTGTCCCGCCCCAGACACCCTTCTCAGATAGAGCCCCACATGTGAGATCACCCACAGTGTCTTCTCTGCCTTCTCCATGCCCGGCGTGCCTCCCTCCCCACAGAGCGAAGTCCTGGGGTGCGGTCTGTAGGGCAGGTAGTCTTGGTTCCCGAAGCTGCCAAGCCCAGAGTTGGCACAGAAGGGGTGACCGAAGAACACGTGGACAGATGGGACATGTGAGGTCTTTCTCTCTCCTTCCCTGACATTTCCCACGAAGGAGCAGAAGGCGATTACCGTCAGCCCCCACCCTAGGAGGCAGTCCTGTCTCCGCTGTGTAGACTGGGTCTGGGTTCTGAAGGGGGCCCTGGGCTTCAGCCTCCTCCGCCAAGGCAGGGATGGGCAGGCAGGATGTGTAGGGTGCCCCACCCCTGCCATACCCCTAGGTGCATTCACCCCCTCCCCCACCGGAGATCCTCACCACCTCCCTCTGCCAGCAGCGGCAGAGGTTCTACGTTTTCGTGAAGATGGGCTACACCATCGGCTACGGCCTGTCCCTCACCACCCTTCTGGTCGCCATGGCCATCTTGAGCCTGTTCAGGTAAGGTCCAGCCTCCTCTGTCCTAGCCTAGTCCCCACAGAATGGCCTTGCACCTGGGGGTAGGGGACCAGAGGGCGGGGCCTGTGCTCTGGACTGAGACACCTGGAGGCTGAGGCATTGGAGGCCCGGCTGCCACCGTCGGTCTGTCAGTCGGTGGATCGGTCAGTTGGTCGGTCGGTCAGTCGGGGAAGGAATACCTGGGACGGGGGCCCCCTTTGGGGCAGGACCAGCACTTGGGCCACGTGCTCCTTCCTCCGTACCCTTGCTCAGAGCACTGACAGTATTGGGTGGGGGTCCGAGGCCACTTCGGCCTCCTAGCTCTGCCCATGTCACCCAGGAAGCTTCACTGCACACGGAACTACATCCACATGCACCTCTTCATGTCCTTCATCCTGAGGGCAGCCTCCGTCTTCATCAAGGACCTGATCCTCTTCGACGGCAGCGAGTCAGACGTCTGCTCCGGGGCCTCGGTGAGGACCTGGCCACCGTCCTATCTCTCCTTCATCCATCTCTCTCTCTCTCTCTCTCTCTCTCTCTCTCTCTCTCTCTCTCTCTCTCTCTCTCTCTCTCTCTCTCTCTCTCCTTTACCCTCTTCTCCTCTCTATGGATGGCCAACCCCCACCTGACCCTGCCTGGCAGCTCGTTGAACCCTCTCCTCTCCCCAGAATGGGAGGTGGTGCCCAGCCCTCTAGGGGTTTGAAGACCTGCCCCCATCAATATGAAACGTCTCTCCTTAATGGGAAATAAATTCATGGCCAGAGCCCACAGCCGCCGCCTCACATCTGTTCTAACTCCCCATGTGACTTAGGAAACTCCCTGCCTCAGTTCCCCCAACTGTGCAAGGACTTCCAAGCTTGCTTCCAACTCTACCCTCTGCCATCGGCAAACCTGGGTTCTGCTCACCACGCCACCCTTCCTATGCCCCCTTGCCATGTGGAGCCAGTCCAGACACACACAGCCCCCCCTCCTGTTCTCCCCTGGCATCGGTAAGTTCGGGGGCTTCCCCGAGAAGAGAAATTAACAGAGCACCTGAGAATTCACCGCTGTCACTGCGGGGTCCGCATGCAGGTGAATCTGAGCTCAGGAGTGTCCCGGAGCTCGAACAGAGAGCTGGAGACCAGCCCCGGCTCCCACTCAGGCCCCGACTCCATGAGTGATGGCGGACACAGTGCATGGCTTCAAGGGGAAGCAGTCCCTTCTCCCCAGGGGTGATCTGTGCCAATGGAATCTCAGGCATCTGGACTAGGGAAGGAGGCCCCAGGGGAGCCACCCTGGCCATTCCCAGAGCTCCTCCGAGGACCCAGGCGTACGCAGTGTCAGGGTAGAGCCTGGGGAGCCGCCAGCAGCCACCAGCTGCTCACTGGTGAAGGGTAATTGTGGAGACTGGCTTCCAGACTCATTAGCAGCTCCATGAAGCTTTTCGAAGGCTGGAGAAACGCACATAAACTGCCTGTTAAAGAGCTGAGTTATTCTCCTAAAGCAACTGTACAACGGAAGGTAGGCTGTTCTCTGAGGATGTTTCAAAGCCAAGGGCACAGGAAGGAAGAGTGGGGCCCTGCGTTCCAGGTACTGGGAGGAATAGATGCTAGAGGGCTTCCTGGAGGCGGCGGCTTTGAGCTCTGGCTCACAGGAGGCTGGGCTTGATCTGAAATGGGAGACTGTTTCTAGGAGAGCACAGGAGACCCTTTAATCAACCCAGAGCCCCTGATTGCCCTACTCAGGGTGGCCTGTAACTCCTCCATTGTCCTCACCTACCTGGTGAACCCATTCTTTAACCAGCTCCTCTGGCCCCCGGGAGGAATAGCCATCCCTCCCTTCTCCACTTTTTTTTTTTTTTCTTTCATTTCTCCTCCCCACCCCACTTCTCTCTTTTCAGTCCCCATCTCTCCTCAACACTCATATCTGGGCCTACTCCCCAGCCCAGAGCTCACATCCCCACACATTCAGTGGACTCTTGCAAATGGGAGCAAGAATTGCCTTTACACCTCTTGTAGCCACCTAATTGGAATAAGATGAATAGGGGAGGAATATTTAAGTGGATGGGTAAGTAGATGGCTGGCCGAGTAAATAGGTGTGTGGATGACTGAGTAGGTGGAAGGATAGATAGATAAAGTAAGAAAAAGAAAGGATATATAATGGTAGAGGGGTGGGTGGGTAGATGGGTGGATGGATGGATGGATAGATAGATGGATGGAGAGCAGGTTGATGGACAAGTAGATGAATGAATAGATAGATGGTTAGGTATCCGGGTTGGTAGTAGATGGATTAAAGCAACAGTCTAGTGGGTGGATAGGAAAATGAATAGAGAGGTAGATAGGTGAGTGTGTGGATGGATTGATAGATGGAAAGATGAATAGATGATGGATGACTGCATGGATGGTAAATGAATAGATAGATGGGTGAGTAGGTAATGGATGTCTGGTGGGTGAATAAGTAGATAAATGGATAGGTAGGAAGATGCATTGTTGGATGGGTAGGTGGTGGATAGATAAGATGATAAATTCTAGGATTATTAAAACCACAATTTTATTCCAAACCATCAGATAATCTCAAATCAAGGATAATTGGAAAACCACCGAGTATATTTTTAAGAGGATAATGCAAAAATAACAGAAAAATAATTCCCCAGCCCAGCGCTCACATCCCCACATGGCTGTACAGCAACCCAGACAGGGCTGTGGGCACGCGGGGCCCCTGGCTAGCCCCAATGAGACCCCTCTTCTCCTCCTTCCCTGCAGGTGGGCTGTAAGGCCGTGGTGGTCTTATTCCAGTATTGTGTCATGGCCAACTTCTTCTGGCTGCTGGTGGAGGGCCTGTACCTGCACACCCTGCTTGTAGTCTCCTTCTTCTCCGACCGGAAGTACTTCTGGGGGTACATACTCATCGGCTGGGGTATGGTTCTGGGGAGGGCTACCAGGCTGGGGACAAAGGAGACCAGGCCGGGGGAGCTTACTAAGGGGCGGGTCTTGCTGGACTGTGGGTCCTACCTGCAAGTCTCTAGCCAAGGGTTGATAGAAGTCCCCTAAATGTGTGACCTAGGGCAGGTGCCCTGGGACCGCGCCAGGGCTGAGCTATGAGACAGACAAGTTCTAGGAACATCTTTCCACGTCCCCTCCGGCCCTTGAAACACAGGGCCAGAGAAGACTCTCCCTGTGGGTGGGCACAGCCCCTCAGACATACAAGTTTCAATCCTCAATGGAGCACAGTGAACAACCAATGCAACCATACGGCACAGTCCTAGTAACCCACCCTGTTCTCTCTCCCTCCCTCTCTCTGGTTCTTCCTCCTTCATCTCTCTCTCATGCCCTCTCTCCTGCCTCCCATGCCCTCTCCTCTCTTTCTCCTCCGGCCCTGACAGGGGTGCCCAGCATCTTCACCATGGTGTGGACCATCATCAGGATCCATTTTGAGGATTATGGGTGAGCTGTTACCCTACCCCCTCCTCCTGGCTGCCATCCCTTGGGGCAGATCCCCTGGGTGGGATGAGGGGGGCTTGGGAGCAACAGACTCTGGGCCCATGCCTCTGAAGGGACTGGGGGCAGAGCTGGGGACAACGGGGAGGACTGCGGACCGTCTCTCTGGCTGAGGACAACCTCTCTCATTCTCTTCTCCCATCCCCTGCCCAGATGCTGGGACACCATCAATTCCTCACTGTTGTGGTGGGTCCTAAGGGCCCCCATCCTCACCTCCATCTTGGTAAGACCTCCTCCTGCCGCTTAGAGATGGGGAAACAGGCCCGGATGGGGTAGTCAGCTTGCTTCAGGTCACACAGGAAATTCCAGTCTAGTCAGAACTGAAACCTAGGCTTCCCAATGCCTAACACAGGGTGTCTCCCCCCACCCCCCGACCCCCCATGGCCTTAGGGATGTGTTTTTCCTCTAGAGTAGAGGAGGAGGATTGGGAGGCCCAGGCCTTAGGGATGGGAAGTTTGCCCAAAAGTGGGGAGAGCTAGAGGACCAGTAAGACAGAGGGGCAGCAGGGCCCCGAGGGACGAGATGGGCCATCAGCCCGGGGAGCTGGACAATTTTCCCTGTCTGACCACCCAACCTTGACCTACCACCACCAGGTGAACTTCATCCTATTTATTCGCATCATCCGCATCCTGGTTCAGAAGCTGCAGCCCCCAAACATTGGGAAGAGTGACAATAGCACGTACTCGTGAGTGTGACGCCAGTGCCCTGGCTCTCCCAGGATCCCCATGCCCGGTCCTCAAAGCATCCCACGTCCCCTCTGTGCCCCCCTCCAGAGTCACCAAAAAGCCACGTTGCTCTTGCCCACCTCTCCCCCATAGCCTGGCTCAGCCCACACGTGTCCTCTGCCCCAGCCCCACCAGTCCAGGCTCATGAGTCCTCCATCTGCTTCTCCTGCAGCCACCTTCGCTGGCAGGTGATCTGACCCAGGTACGACCCTGCTGCCGAGCCTGGGTGCTGCAAAAGACAGTAGATAACCTGTGTCATGTCCACACTGGGTGCCCAGTCCCTGGCATGTGCCTGGCACAGGAAAGGGGCCAATAGATGCAGTTAATGAATGCCCTGCCCTGGGGAGCCCCCAATCTACCAACAAGACAGCCATATTCAGGACTCAGGGCTTGCCAATCATAATAGCAACATCTGCGGTTCGCATGCCAGGCATGTGCCAGGGGTTTCCATCCATCATCTCATTTCACCCCACCGTCCCCTCTGAACTGCTCCTGTTTCACAAGCGAGGAAGTGACACACACGCCCTCCACTCAAAGGCTTGGGAGTATGTCACATGGCAGGGGGAGGGCACCTTGACCTCAGCCCCCAGCGTCCCTCTCCTGGTCTGTCTCCGTGGGACAGCGGCCATGCTTCTGCTTAGCAGGGTCTGAGGGCTGTTCCCTGTGCCCGGGTGGCCTGGAGAAACAGGCAGGTTCTCGTGAGAACAATGGGCTTGAAGACAGAACAAAAGAAACTAGAGAAGGGTGTCTGTGGGGAGGTGAGTAGGAGTCTGCAAACCCATAGATGGGAACAGGAGATTATCAGCGCTGCACAGACAAGACAAGCCTGGGCATCCTGCAAGGGCCTTCTAGTCCTGGGATTCTAGAATGTTCTTGGCCTGGCTTCTCTTTGGTGGAGTCTGTGCTGTGGTTTTAAGGTTCCCGGCTGGATCGTCCTGAGCTGCTGGAGTGAGGATTCTATTCTGGACTCCTGTGATCTCACAGAGGAGGCAGGAGATGGAGATGGGCATTCCCAGGGTGCCCGCACTCTCTGCTGCTGGGTGTGGAGGCGGGGCTTCTTCCGGTTGCTGACGGGAAGGCCCTGCAGGGGGCGGCAGTCTGCCAAGGGGTAGGACCTCAGGCCTGCCCACCCTCACGCTCTGCTTTTTGCTGGGGGCCTTGTTTTTCCCAACATCCAACTACTTGAAAGGGCTAGAATCCGCAGCAAAGAAAGCTGGTCATTGCCAGGTCCACGTGGGTGAGATGGAAGCCGAACAGCTGTCGGCAGGCAGAGGGGCGGGGGTAGGAGGCGGAGACGGAGCTCCCCGAGAAGGCCTGCCAGCTCCCACTCTCCACCTCCCCATAAGCCTCCAATTTAAAAAGAGCTTCCATCTGTCAGCCTCAGCGGCCGGCCTGGGTAGGTTTGCAGCCAAGGAGGGGTGGGCAGTGCTCGGGATGTTGGCATGGCTGGGAACCAGGTCCAGGAAAGAAGGAAAGAGTGGGAGGGGCAGGGCCTGTTTCCCTGCCCCCGGTTTGCTGTGGGACCTCAGGCGGGGGAGTAGGCTTCCCTGGGCTGACCGCCAAGGCAGGAGAGAGGGACACAGAGACCCCTCCACCACTCAGACCTCTCCCAGTAGAGAATGGGTCTCCCGGGTGCGTTGCACTTCATAGCACCACAGCACTCCTGAGTCACCCGTTTCTATATGTGGAGCATGCATTTACCCCGTTGTACAGATTGGGAGAAACTGAGGCCTGGAGAGGGAACCAGGTTCTCCTGTGGCCTGAGCACTCCTCCCCATTGGCTGCCACAGAGCCTGGACGACCTTGTCACTCGTCCAGAAGGATGAGAATAGAGGGGTTTCTTTCTCCCTCGTGCTTCCCTCCAGCCTCGGAGGGCTGGGGGGCAGGAGGGCATAGACACCCCAGATATGGAACAGGACCCCTCCCCATCATAGTTAGGGGGCCAGCAGTTCTTCCTTGCACATCCTGGCTATTGTCCCCAACTCCTTGTGGAGGCCTGTCCTGCCCACAGGTATGGACACACCGACTCACCCGCCTGCCCCTCCCTGCCCCCAGGAGGCTGGCCAAGTCCACGCTCCTGCTGATCCCCCTGTTTGGATTGCACTACACCGTGTTTGCCTTCTTTCCCGAAGAACACTTCGAGGCTAAAGTGAAGCTGGTCTTTGAGCTCGCCGTGGGGTCTTTCCAGGTACGAATTGTTGACCGAAGGCTGCATTCCTCTCTGGGCTGGAAGTGGGGAGGGGATCCCCCCCCATCCGCTGGGTTCCAGGCTTTCTGCCGTCATAACTATTGATTAAGCACCTGCTGTGTGCTTCGCCTTTGCTTAACCAGGAGAACACAGGGCCGGGCCCGGGGTTGGGCGGGGCTGGGGGCGCCTGTGGTCTGCCCGCCTCAACGCCCGCTTCCCTTCCTCCCAGGGCTTTGTGGTGGCTGTCCTCTACTGCTTCCTCAATGGCGAGGTAAGCCCCTCCCGGGCCTCGGGGTCCAGGGTCCGGAAACGCTGGTGGGAGGTGAGCAAAGCGAGGATGGGTGAAACGTGGCTACTCCGAGCGTGGTCCTCCATGGTGGCCCCAAAGACCTAGTTAAGAATGCTGGTTTCTGGGCCCTCGCCAGACCTGGTGGCTTAGGATCTGCGTTTTACATGAACGTAGAGTTTTGACAGGTGCCTGTTGAGGGCCTGTGCGCAGAGTGAGTGGGGAGGGTGGGCGCAGCCGGTGAAGGCTGGGTAAAGGTGAAGCCCTGGTTACAAAGGGTCCTTTGGGATGAGCTCAAGTGATCCAGAGGGCAGGATGGGAAATGGGGATGCAGCCACCCCCAGGCAGCACCCTTCTCCGTCCCCCTGACTGCCTTCTCTGACCCTCTCTGCCTCCCTCCTCCCCAACTCCAAGGCTTTGATTTGACCTTGGCCCCCAGTATCCCAACTCTGTATCCCCAAAGGGAGCATCGGGGTCTCTGAATTTAGATTCCCCAAGAGCATGTGACTGGCTAGCTCAGGCATCCTAACTCCGGGGATTGACCACCCTCCCTCTCCCAGGTGCAGGCAGAGCTGCGGCGGAAGTGGCGGCGCTGGAACCTACAGGGCATCTTGGGCTTGGGCCCCAAATACCAGCACCCACCTGGGGGCAGCAACGGGGTGACCTGCAGCACACAGGTGTCCATGCTGACCCGCGTCAGCCCGGGGACGCGCCGCTCCTCCAGCTTCCAGGCCGAAGACTCCCTGGTCTGACTGCCAGGCGCCCAGGGAGGCTCCACCTGCCCGCACCCACCCGCCCGCCCTCCCGGGCGACCCGGGGGACAGAGGCCTGCCGGGGCGAGTGGCCCCAGCCCTGGGCTGGGAGGCTGTCCTGGCCTCCAGGCCAGTGCCCAGAAGCCCTGGAGAACACTGCTCTAGGGCCTGCCTGGGGAGAGGGAGCCCTGAGAGATGCACCCAGGATGATGTGGGGTGGAGCTCGGCCATCGGACTCCTCCCCTAAAGGCTCTCTGCCAATCAATGGAAGGAAATTTGCATACTCAAGTGACTCCGCCCCCTCATGACTTATGAGGAAGGCAACCACCCACCCCCAGACAATACAGTGGGAACGTGGTTGACAAAGGCCTTGCACTCCCCCATCCCCAAAGGTCACCCGACACCGCCACCTCATCAGTGCCTGAAGTTCCAGCCTTGCTGTCAGCTTCCTCTGGGTTAAGTATCCCCATCGGGCATCTCTCTGAGGATGCGGTCCCCTCCCCCAGTGCCCTCGTAGCTGCCAGGTCCTCGAGGTAACCGGTGCAGATGTGACATGGAGTTCTAGTTTGGGGAGCACCGCTGTCTTCAGAGTCCCCACCGACGTGGAGTGGTCCGAGGATGATGGGAGCGATTCGAGGGCACTGCCACCAGCGTACCCATCCCTGTGGTCGTGGGAGCTGCCCTCCGCTGCCTGCCTGTGATGAGCCCACTGTGAGAAGTAGGCTCAGAGATGTCATTCATGGGTCCCTTACTCCTCACATCCACCCAGCAAGGGGGGAAGGACTGTCCCTGCTTCCCAGACCAAGAAGCTGAGCCTCCCAGAGCAGGTAGCTGGCCTTGTCACACGGCAGGACTGGAACTCTGCTCTGGCTGACCGGAAAGCGAAAGCACAGCCTTCTTACTGCTGCCTTTTATATCTTGCAACGTGCTGGATCCTCTTGTTATTTGACTCACGGCTCCTTGTCATGGCCACCGTCCCCGGAACCCCACCCCTGCCTCCCCTGGCTCTCCCTGGCGTGTGGCCGAGGCGTCCTCTGGCCCATGTGTCATCTACACACCAGCCCGGTGGTCATGGTGTCATGTGTCTGCTCTGCACCTCTGTGGTCCCGTGGCTTCCTGCCCACCCGGCAGCCGGAAGACCCTCATCGGTGCAATAATAAATGTTGTGTTGGATTGGCTTGGTTTCCTTGGTGGTCGATGTTCCTGGGTGACCTCAGGCTGGGGACTAGCTTCCAATTCCCCCTCCCCCACCCCCACTTGGGAGGAGGGGTACAGTGAAGCCAGAAGCTACCACCCCGCTGACTTTGGGCAGCAATGCATGCATGCCATGGGAGAAGCACACCATTCTAAGGGTCTTCCACTGGCATCTGACGGACGTGTATTCTCTCTAGTGAGTGAGAACAAGTTACACCAGGTCTTCATTGTGCCCTCTCGCCCCCAAATCCAGCCAAAAGGACGGTTCTATTGGATCAATACAAAACAGCTCACAGAGCTGCCCGCTGCCCCAGGAATGGTTACGTGTGAGCATTTTCGGGGCCACGCCCGTTCCTGCAGACAAGGAGCCTGTGGGGTATGAGAAGACCATGTTGCTGTTGCCAGTACTCAGCCCAGAGGAGGAAGACAGAGGACGGAACAAATGTCCCCAAAACAAGCGATTGAGCCCTAGCCGGTCTGGCTCAACGGATAGAGCATTGGCCCGCAAACTGAAGCGTTACAGGTTCGATTCAGGTCAAGGGCATGTACCTTCAGTGCAGGCTCGATCCCAGCCCTGGTCGGGGTGAGTGTGGGAGGCAACCAATCATTATGTTTCTCTCTGTGTGTCTCTCCCCCTCCCTTCCACTCTCTAAAAATCAATGGCAAAATATCCTCCGGTGAGGATTAACAAAACAAAACAAAAAGTGAGTGAGCAGAGGAAATACCACTAAGAGAAAGGTTTAGACAGAGGCAGTAGGGTGAGGAGGGTAATGTCAGTCAGCAAGGGATGTCTCCAAAGCCATTGCCTGAGTGACCTCCTAGGCTTCCACTTTCTACAAGCGTACAAGGAGGTGTCTTGCTGCAGGAGCAGGAGAGGGATGCCAAGTGGGTAAAAAGCAGCCAGAATAGACTAGCAAAGGCTTAAGTCTGCCTGCAAGGCACCTTTGAAGCCCTGGGCTATGCAGTGCCATCCCAGGACTCATCAAGGACAGACCAGACCAGCACCCAGCGGCCCAGCTGCCCCAGTCAGGGGTGGTCAGGCCAAGGAAAGAGTGCCTGTGAGCTTAGGGCAAGGCAGCCCCAGGCAAACACCCTTTGGTCCATGGTCCAGCATGTCCAGGAGTAGCAAACCCTCTCCTGTCTAGATCCACGCTCCGTGCCTGCCCTGTGCATGTCAGCTGTGGGACAGAGAAGGAGGCAGCGCCCAGCTTTGACCTCAGGCACTCCCTGGCCTGCTGGAGAGAGGGTTCTCAACACCCTCTCTCCCCTCCCCCTGCCTAGGCCAGCAATGGCGACCACCAGGGAGGTGCGGGTCAGGTGGGGAGATCATTGGGGACACCTGGGACCTTCTCCATTCTTCCCTGGCTCCCAGCCCTGTGCTCCGAGGCACTGGGATGAGGGACAGGGAACAGGCCGTATGCCCATGCCCCTCTCACCCAGCTGGGGGTTGTGGCTCACTCTCTCTGATTTCCTTCCTCCCCCTCCCGCCTGGGGATTCCCTGCACTGGCTCCAGAGACCTTACCCACTCCGCCCTGCTCAGTAAGGTCTAGAAGACTCTACCGGCCTGAATCTTTTAGTCCTGATTCTGGGCCTCAGTTCCTCTCCACCTGCATAATCGGGGAGGGTGCTGGATGGCTTAGCTTCGTTCCTGGCTGAGGCTCGGGTGGCTGAGGAGGAAGAGCCTGCCCAGAGCCCCTGCCACCTGCTTTGTCCTCTGGGCTCAGCGGGAAGAGAGCAGCCGGAGGGGCGCTCCAAGCATCTAGGGGCGAGGGGATAGCCAGAGGATGGAGGCTGTGCGGAGAATGAGGTCAGAGAATGAGGAATGAGCTCAGGCTGGTAGAAGTGGGGAGTGGGGGGGGGGAGAGGGCGGGGAGGGCTAACAGTAACAGGAGGAGCCAACAGATCCCAGAAGCAAAATGTTTGCAGAGGAAAGGGCAGCACCCCACCCCCAGATAAGGACCCACACCAGCTGACTGAGGGGTGTAAAGACCAGGAGGCTCCAGCCTCTCCAGGACTGAAATCCCCCATTAGGGAGTCATGGCCTTAGGGTAAGGGGACAGCTCTGAGGAAAGGAGCAGAGTTATCAGCCAGGAGGGTGGAAAGGGAATGAAACACTAAGAGACCCAAGATGGGGCAAAACGGGGACATAGTGGGCTCCTGCCCTGAGAAGAGGCCGCAGGTGAGCAGCCCAGTGGGGGCATTCAGGAATAAGGAGAAGCTGAAACACTGTCTTGGGCTGGCACAGGCCATGGGCAGACATCCAAGCTGCCTATGAAGTAGGGGTGGAGTGGGGCAGACCACACAAAGAATTTCTCCTGCACCCCCTCTTCCCTCCAGCTTCAAGGACACTTATCAAGCCAGCCCAGCTCATCTCCATCGCCACCTGGTGGTGACCTCAAGGACTTCCCCGAGGTTGGCTTAGGGCCTCTAACACCTGGGAGGCCAGGTGACACCAGGGGGCAGGCCTCTCTTGCCTCCGCTCCATTTCAGAGTGAGATGATAGAAGAGGAGGAGATGGGGAGACTCCAGGCCTGGTGACGCCAGGGATCCAGGAGGCCAGGCCCCTAGCCACAGTGGCATACAGTCCCCAGCTGGGTTCCCCACAGGCCTGACCAAGCTCTGACCCAGTCCTTGTAGGCAAACACCAGTTAACTCGGGGGGTCACCTCCTGGGAAGACAAGGGCAGAGTCTCCCACCATCCTGGCGGAGAGGGCCACCATGGCCTTGATGGCAGAGGGTAGGTGACATGTGGCTGGTTCCTGCCACTCCAAGGTGGGCAGCCAGTCTGCCATCAAAGTGGAGTAAGAGCAGCTTCCCTTCTGAGGCGGCATCGGGTGGTGACGTCTCTGAGAGCCAGCCAGGTAGGAGTCCATGGGTCCCAAGGGAGTGTGATGAGCACAAGGAACACCTGAGTCCAGCGAGCAGGTGCTGGGGCCTCTGCAGCAGGAGCCCCATGGAGGCTTCTTCAGCGAGGCCAGAGGAAGAGGGGTGGGTTTGGAGCAGGCCTGGGGAAAGGCCCATCATCCAGGTGAGGAAGGAGGGGGAGGGGGCGGGTTTGGGAAGAAGATGACCTGGTGGTTTGGGACATGCTGAATGTCATGTCTGGGGGGCACCTGGGGAGAAGCCCCAAGGCTGTTGGAATCAGAATCTAAATCAGCAGGGTCCAAGCAGGGGGTGGGGAGACCAGGGCAGCGCCATGGTGATGAGGAGTCTGTCCCCAGCCACTTCCAGCTGGTGTGATGGGTTAGGGTGGTTAGGTGCCAGTGCCTCTCCCTCCCCCCTCCCCATTTCCCACCACTCACCCAGAGCCTGTTTTAATGAGCAATGACCCTGCTTGCCCCTATGTGGGAACAGGAACCTCTCTTATCTCTCCAGGGGGAGGGGGCAGGAGCCACAGCTGGCAGTCATTAAACACCCTGATCACGCCTAGATGGCTGAGGTATTAATAGCCGGGAGTCAATGGCCCTGGAGACACAGTCTCCCAGGAACGGGGGCAGTAACCGCAGCAGGCCACGGCGAGGAGGGGGACGGGCCATCTTGGCAGCGCCCCAGCCCCCATGCAGGACCGACGGGGTAACCAGAGTCCAGAGAGAAGGAAAGGGACTTGCTTGGATCACCAGCAAGTCATTGGTAGAGCCCGGCCTCGAACCCAGTTCTCAAAACCCCAGAGCCCGGCTTCAGTGTGTGGACTATCCCAGCGTGTGCCCTGTGTGGAGACCAAGTAGAGCAGACCGAGTTGGCAATGCTGATTCTTTAGTCTCTTTCTTTAAAAACCTTGATATCTCGTTACTCCTGCATTTTTGCC